ATCTGAATCCGCCTCGTGAATGCGTCCCCAGTTGCCCCCAGTCATCTCGCAGTGTGCCCGGCGCCCTGCAAAGCCTCGCGAAAAAAACACGGTGGAATCAATAGCCAAGTTGAGCCTAGGGGCTATGCAAGGGGATGTATCCCCAACATATGGCTATCTATGGTACAGTACCTCTATTTTAGGATCTTGAAATTCCATGAAATTTCCATTGATGAGAACAAAGGTGTGCAACCTATACATATTATATATTCATATATATATATATATATTCGGTAGTCAACCCCAAAAAGATACAAAAGTCATGAATCACTATTTTAGTGATATTTTATGAGCTTATATCTTTTTGGAGGTTGCTATAAGTATTGCGTGGCTGGTTCCACATACAGTATGACATGATATCATTCCTTCCCCCTGATAGTAAATACCGCCCAGAAACCATGGTTTAGTTGGGGATTTACACATAATTTGGCACTTAGATGGTGTAATACTGAAGGGATGGGATTGTTGGGGTGGTTCCCAACACCACAGTGCTGCTGATCATTGGGATTCAACCCACCGCAGAGCTGCTCAAGAAAAACGACGGTTTTTATTTGCGTTCAGGTACGCTCCGAAATTTTGCTGTACAAGTAGATATTCAATCCGTCCCACGGAAATCTGCCTTGATTTCAAGTATCCAAGGGATAGAAACTAAATGAAACTAGCAAACACAATCATATCAACTATGGAACACGTGCACATCCAACACATTCCATTTCCATTTCATCATTTCTATCTGCTTGGAGGTGCTGACACGTCAAGGGGCGGATCTTGCATCGTGAGACACAGGTCTCAAAGACGAAGTGGTTCTGAACGCACGAGATGAATTCACCTGATGGGTACCACAAGTGGTCGAAGAGTTGGGGGTGCACTTGGGCATCTCTTTGTGGATATAATACGATATAACAATGATATTAAACGATCTAACCATGGTTTTATCACGATCAGTTGGGAAATAATTATGATGCCTGCTTGGTGGATGTGAGTGGAAACGTTCTTGCCTACTTTGAGGATCCGTCAGAAAAAGTACAGTAACTGTTGGCTTCCCTTAGCCATTTAGGGGATAAGCCCACTGGAGGAACTTTTCAACCAAGGTCATTCCTAAGCGTTTGAAAAACCGCTTGCAACAGCAGTGGGGTGATCCTCAGAGGTAGACCATGGTAGACCCAGCGCTGAGCAGCGGGGAATACCCAGGCACTCATATCTGCCAAATCCACATTGATAATCTTCGCATCCTTCAAGTCCGGATTCATGGCCACAGCGGGCTGAAGTGTCTGCAACAGCCTTGGAATCCACGCCTTGAAGAACTTCCCCACATTCCCCAAGGGGGAAACCAATGGTTACACCATAAACAACAACCCATGGGGGATATATATACTTGACTAGTGTGGATCCCAGATTATTGGATTAGACCATAGATCTGGGATGCTTTGAGTGACCCGCCCCCCTGCCTTGCCACAATGGTGGCTTAAACATCCAATTGATGTTTTTGAACTGCAGGCATATGTTCTTTCTCCATCTCTGGGGCTCTATTCAAAGGGGTGCTAATTAGAGTCTTATTGCTAAATTACTTCAATCTATCTCGTTTTATGATATTTTAAGATTGATGGAATTGGGCCCAACAAAAATATGAACAACTATTTTTTCTGCGTTGCGGGGTGTGGGACGAGGTCGTTGAGCAGAAGGGTGCCCTGCCCCCTTCTAGAAGTAGTATTGGAAGCAAAAAATCGCCCCCCCCAAAAATATCAATATTTTTTTAAAATTATATTCTTTTAATTTTAAATTAAAATATTACCAATATTTTCCATTTTGGGCTACCTCAATGCATTTTGTTGCTTGTTCGTAGCCAAATTGCCTCTGACCTTTGCAAAGCTGAATAGCATCCCTTTGAATAGGGCCAGGGGGCCTTTGAATGATAATATGTAGTTCTCTCAACTAGTTGGACATCCCCGTGGTTGTTTTCATTTTCAAGCAGCCAAGCTCAGCTCCCCAGAATCTTTCACTTGGAATCTCCAAACCACAAATCTCGCAACCAAACGGAATATCAGATGTATCAGTTAAGTTAAGCAATCTCCGAAACCATCGAACCATCTTTTGGGGAATCCATGACGAGAAGCTCCTCGAGAACCTCCAAAAGACCCAGCAAGGTGACGATGGGATTTTTCATGGCCTCGGGGCTGTGACAAATAGGGGGATTGCCAACCAAAAAGATGAGGAAAAAGGGGAACATATCTATATCACTATACTTAGTACGTAGCTCGGATTTTATATGCCTATCTGATTTTTTGGGTTACTATAATGGTATATCATGGGATGAAAGTTAACTAATGGCAACGAATCTTTATTGGCAAAATCTGTGGGAAACCATTGATATGTTTATACCCAAATATGGAGGTTTTCCCCTTGAACGTTTTGGTTCTACAAGGTGGTGCCCCAGTTCGTGAACGCTAAGTTGGTGCAAATAAGTCCAAGATCTAGGGTTGATTAGGGGGTTATATCATGTTCTATAGTTAATGGGGATTATAAACCAACTTATAACTAGGGGGGTACCACCTTGTATTCATTCTATTTTATTTTTGGAGCCACCAAATCGGGGTATTTTTTTATGGTACTTGTGGGAGTGGGATTATCTTGTCTGCTTACCATCAGCATAGAACAAACAGAAAAGTAAATGGTCGCTATTTGGGTCTGTCCAAAAATAGGGTACCTCTATATAAATCCAGTGGTTTATCGGAATTTTCCTACCAAATCCAGCCGTTTTGGGGGGGACACCATTCAGTTCAAGATCAGGGATTTCCCCATGTCTAGTTGAACAGAAATGGCACCAAAAAGATGCAGACAAGTAAAATCCGACCCTCAACTAGTCATGAATTACTTTTGCATCTTTGTGTGGGTGTCTATATATTCAATACAATGTATCTCTACATCCGAGCAAATATCTGGTTTTGTTGTTCAATTCCTGCATATTTGACTCAATTTCCCAATTTTTTCATGCTTAAGAAAGTAAAAATCAAGTCAATCTTTTTATTCCTATCCATGGTGTGTTTCCTAAATATTGTAACATATCATATTGGCACATAGGAGATTTATATACTTGATTTTGGCTATCTTTATCGTGCTCCAAATGGTGCCCCATTTCGTGCCACTGTTACAATATCTAGGGCATACACAAACTATCCTCATGAAATCACACTGTTCAATATTTTTCAAAGCTGGTTCTCTCCCAGCATTGTATCACTTACAAGGTGGTACCCCCTAGTTACCCTACTTATAAGTTGGTTTATAATCCCCCTTAACACCATTAACTATAGATATAACCCCGCAATCAACCCTAGATATTGGACTTACTTGCACCAACTTAGCGTTCACGAGCTGGGGCACCACCGGTAGTATATTCCCATTGATTCATCCCCGGGCTGCCCAACGTTGGCCACGCAGTCAGGCAAAAACTCGAAGACGAAGGCCACTTCGTCGATACCATCCGCCAGGAAGTGATTCGTCAGGGTCTGTTTTTCCTCAGGAACCGGCGACCCCAATAGGGTGGATAGCATATGATAGGTACGTTTGGTTGAACTACGGCAAGGAAACCGAGGTTTATTGAAGATATATTATATCATATTATATCTATTTATATCTGATGTATCTATGGTTAGGTGGGCTTTCAAACCAACTTATAACTGGGCGGCACCACCTTCCACGGTAGATCACCCCAGTTAGTGTTGCTATATTTATTTAGATACAAACGCGGGCTAAATGTAACAAGGCATTCATTAAAAAACCAAATAAACCAACCACTTGAAGGGGACTTATGGCATCACCAGGGTTATCAACCATGATTCATGGGATAATCCATGATATGTACGGTGGGTGACCAAAAAACCAATGGGGAACGAGTTGGGGAGATCTCCAACTTCCACATCCAATGGCTATAGGTGAAACATTTTGAACCACGTCATCCAATGGTTTATCACCATTTTCTCAATTAGAACGGCAATCCAACGGGGTATCTCCCATTTGAAGACACACCCATGCCAACCAATTCAGGTATCATGCATAGCTTATCCATATCCACATGTTTGCATGTAATATCCATGTGCCTAGCCTCTCCACTTACCCATAAACAATATGTATTTATTGCTAATTCTCATGGGGTCTGGCCATCTAAGGGTCAAGGTAGGTGCTGGCCAAAGAATTCCCACTGAAATCACCTCTAAGCATCTGCTTCGCCCAAGCGATTTCAAGCAGTGACCAGCTGGTTGAAGCAGTTGTCCTGGCGAACAAAGCGCGTGCAATTTTCTATCGCCATGGCGAACATCTATGCACATAGTTCTATATGTTCTATAATAGTTATAGATGTGAAACCACACATGAGTGAAACATGACGATTTACAGTCGTATGTTTCAAAAAACCAGAGTCATCAGCAGTGAGCATTTGACCAATTGAAAAGGGTACCACAGACGCCACACACTATTTTGGTGCCAAGTGTGCGCCAAGAAGTGGATAGTTGACTACCAGAGCGGCACGCATTAAGACTGACCAATATCTGCATGTCACCCAAGAGCTGTTAGCATGTAGATTTCACAGGATTCTTTCAACTGATGGCATTTTCAATGGAAAGGGATGGAAAAAGAATGATTGTCATGCAATGATATCTCTGTCTTTTGGACCTGGTCCCTCACCGACAAATGAAACTAAAAATCCCAAACATATCCCAAACATACTGTGGATGGAAGAAATCCTGCACCAGTTGATAGGTGGCTTATCCCATTATTCATAGGGTTTCAACCATCCTTCTGGTGGTGCAGGATTTTTTCCATCCTGTTTTGCAAAAAGTTTGATGTTGAAAAACCCCCATGGATTTCCCTAAGAACACACATGGATTTCCAGAAAAACCACTGAGTTTTTCCCGAAGACAATCCTTTACAAATCCTGGGTTTTCCAGAGCACCTCGGGATGAATACGCATGAGGCAGGCCGCTCGAATCAAGACCAAATCTTCCTGGATCGTGGAAGACAGAGGTATCATGGGGATATCATGGGATTGTGCAATTGATACATCGGTCAGCCATTCATGTCATGACATGTTTCATAGCTTGCTTACCGCAGGCCTTGAGCCCAGGCACGTGCGACGTAAAACATTGCCATAGCTGCTTCGGTGTGCTGTTGCATTTGCCACGCTGTGTGGCATTAGGGATTCTACTTGCTGTTCATCACCTTTGGCATCCAATCCCCATAGGGCCCCCGCTTAGCTACTGCATTGGTAGCGGAGCGGGCGAGGCCAGGGGCACGATCGAGCTCTTCTACACCACTACTTGCTGGACTTTGACTTCGTCAGGACGGCAGACCTGCCGCAAGGCATCTGGGTTTGGGATCCCTCTGAGGTTCGACTTCGTGTGGACAGGTCGGACAGATCTCGGAGCCGAGACCGGCCCAGAGACCGAGGTGGTCGACGTGGTGGTGGACGAGGGCCTGATCTACCAGAACCTGAGCCCGAACCTGATCCAATTGGTGGCCTAAGCTCCTCAAGGACTACTACGCCATCAGCTGGGTCAACTTCGACTTCGAGCTCGACAGCTCGGCCTGAAACACCTGTCCCGTGAGGACCTTTTCTACAAGTAGCTGACCGAGGGGCCAGCTGTTGGGGGTTGCGGATTTGTTCACAACTTCTGACGCTTTTGCATTCTTCTTTTTCCTGAACTTTGTCTCCAACGCCTTGGACATTCTGGACACCTTGGACGTTGTGGAGTTTTTCAACCAGGTCATTTTGATCTACCTCAACGAGTCACTGCTACGTGCTTGACTATTTCCTTGCGATCCTTCGCCCAAAGACCTACGTCATGGCGGATCTTGCGAAAGGGGCAACTGAGACGGTGCCAGCTTGGGATGGCAATCCTCGTGGCTGGAGGCGCTATAGCCGTGAGGTGCTGTGGTATGTAATGGGAACAAAGAAATCAAGTCGACCCTTTTTAGCCCCCAGGTTGATTGCAAAATTGACTGGACCGGCTAGGTTGTTGGCAATGTCATGGAGTCAAGTGGACTTTAGAGGAAAATCTGGTGTTAAAACCCTGTTAACTCGATTAGCAGAAAGCCCACTGGTGCGAAAGAACTTGCCCAACACCAGTGCGGTGATGAACCAGTACTTCAACTACAAGCGCTTCCCCAATGAGACCATTGCCAACTACCTCGTTCGGGAGTCGCTCTACTTCGAGGAGTTCAACGAGTCCCTCTTGGCCTTGAAGGAGGAACAAGAAGGAGGTTTGTCGCAGAACATCTTTGACTTCAGTGATAGCTCTTCTGAGTCCGATGACGAGGACGAGGATGGATCAACCAAGAAGTCAAAGGGTTACCAGAAGGTTCCAACTTCAGAACCATCCCCCATGGGAACAATGCCTGTGGGTTCACCTGAAGGCAGACCTACACCTCCTGAAGGAGCTCCATCTGTGGGTCGTGGCAGCAGGGCCAGTCGGCCTCCTTTGGCACCTACGTTGAGCTCTATGGACAGCTTCATTTTGAAGCAGCTACGTGGTTGGCGTCTTCTTTCAGGAGCTTGCTTGACTGCGGAGGAGTGGCGTGCTGTGCTGTCATCTACAAACAGCAAGCTGGACTACCAGAACATCAGCATGGCCTTGACCATCCTCTATGACGACCAGATTCAATCTCATCGAGGAGGACATCAACTACATCATGGAGGAGCTCAACTCTTTTCCCTCGAGGACGGCGACTGGGCTTGGGAGACACCTTGGTGGAGCGATCAAGATCATTGGGCTAGCTACGCAGGTTGGCCTGAAGAAGATGAAGATTGGACTATGGAAGAAGAGACAGAGGAAGCAGAAGGACAAGGAGATGATCCAAAGAAGGAGAACGAGGCCATGGCTCAAACAACATGGAGTCAGGCTCATCGCACTACGCAGTTGGTGAAGAAGGACAGAGGTTTTGGTAAAGCCGTTGGGAAGTCTGGAAAGGCTTCTTCAGCCTCTGATGGATGCCACATCTGTGGTCATCCTGGTCACTATGCCCGTGACTGCCCTGACAAATTTGCCCCAAAAGGCAAAGGTGGTCGTCTTCACTATGTTGGTGCCTACGACGAGGAGAACCTGTACGCTTTTACCAAGGGCAAAGGCAAGAACTATGGCAAGGGCGGCAAGAACGCCTACTATGTGGATGACCTCTACTATGTGAAGGGCAAATTTGGTGGTGGCAAGAGCAAGGGCAAGTCCAAGAACAAAGGCAAGAACAACGTCAACGCCTATGCCATGGAGTATGACGACTACAGCTATGGGTACTATGTCCTGGACTTCCCCGACGATCATCTTGATCTACATGCTGCGGCTCGTGAACCAGATCCTTCCTTGGGTCAACGTTCTGTGACCACTGCCAACAAGACCAAGACATCTCCGGCCTTGGGGATGCTGGACACTGGTGCAACTTGCTCTGCCGGCCCCGAGAGTTCCATCAAGAACATGGTCAATGTGCTGCTTCAGCAGGACAAGTCAGCCAAGATCACTTTGGACGGAAAAAGCTGCCCCAGATTCCGATATGGGAGTGGGACTTGGGGTAGAGCGTTGTATCGGCTGACTATGGAATCTAGTTTGTCAGGACGTCGTTTTCAAGCTTTTGCTTTGCCTGATCCTGCTGAAAGTCATGAACCATGGTTTAGTGAAAGTATGTTGGTACCTGTACTCATCGGCATGGACTTCATAGATACTCATGGCATGATCATTGACTTCAACGATGGAACTGCTGTTTGTGCAAACCATGATGACGGGGAACCCTTTCAATTACCACGCAACTCCAAGAAACATCTGATGGTTGACATTGTGGACTTTCTCACCAAGGGACAACAATGTGTTCAAGGTCAACCCAATATCCACGTCATCTTGCATGAATCCAGCGGGTCGGAACAGTTTGCGGCAGAGTTGATGTTGAGCAGTTGCACTCCTTTTGATTCTCCTGAACTTTGTCCTCTTCTGATGGAATCCGGAGAACTTGACAGCTCTTATGAACTTCAAACTTCCTCTACTTCTACTCCTTCCCAGTGGTTTTGCAGATTGTGGGAACGAAGGTTGATGCTCAACCGAAAGATGGGTGGCTCAATTTCAACTGCCCTTCGTTCGTCAACTTCGCCCCCGACGTCCCATGGCGGCCAAAAGTCTTGCGTCGCCTTCCAAGACTCTGCGCCCACTGGATCCCGAGAGGACCCTTCCAGCCGATCCACGAGATCCCAGGATGGATCGAGCTCAATGGCCATGCCTGGGAGTGCACACCCCAGGCAAGAGCAAGTCCAACAAATGGGCTGCGTGGACTCAGTGCGAAAAGTGCGGTTTGAGGCTGGAATACGTTCCAAAACAAGGGAGCCCAGCAACCAATGTGGAGACTTGCAATCCCTTCATGGTTCGCAAAGCTCTTCAAGATCTACAGGAGATGCTTCCAAGCGACATGGTTCCCAACGAGACCCTGGTGAAAGCATGCTACGACAAGGTGGCCGCAGAGGAGCGTCTGAAGACTCTCATGCTGGACTACAAGGACCAATTGGCCAAACTACAGAAGAAGGTGGAGAAGGTGAAACCGGGAATGACATCGGCAAAGAGTGGTGCCGCTCCTTCCGTCATGGCCGGTTACCAAGTTGCAGTGCCTCAGGCTCCAAGGAGTGCAACCACTTCATGGGCCCAGGTCACACCTCCACACTCTCCCGAGCTGAACGAGATGTTCGATCTGATGACGGAGGACGAGAAGCAAGAGCTGACCAATCGTCTTCGACAGCGCCGGGAATCCATTCCAGTGTCGGACACGGAGATCAATCCTCCATATCAGCAATGAGCAGCCACTACATGACTGCTGCGGAGATCAACCTGGACTTCGAGAACCAGCATCCTCTACCTCTTCGAGTTGGTCAATCGATGGTGAACACCTTGCACCTTGTCAACAATGAGTTCAACGAGATCATGGCGGAGACGGTCTATGGAAAGAAGCCTTTGGTCTGGGAGCTTTTCTGTGGTCCTCAGTCTCAACTGACCACTTCATGCTTGGAGAATGGGTTGGAAACTATGAGAACCAACTTGGCTAGTGGATTCGACCTCTACAAGGACGAGACTTGGGACAAGCTCTATGGACTGTATGATCGTCATCGACCTGAAAAGCTCTGGTTCAGCCCACGCTGCACCTACTTCTGTGACTGGGTTGACCTCAACTACAGTCATCGCCCTGAAGTTCTGCAGAAATATCTTCGAAAAGAACGACGCATGCTGCGGCGCATGCGGGATTTCATGAAGTATGTCATCTCCAAAGGTTCTGACATCTATTGGGAATGGCCTTGGCGATGCAGAGGATGGAAGGAGAAGCTGGTTATCGAGTTCATCGAGGAGGTCACTGCTCAACTGAAAGAGATTTGGACTTGTAGGATTGATGGTTGTAGATTTGGAATGAAAGGAGAAAGTGGCAACTTTATCAAGAAGTCATGGAAAGTGATCACCACGGATCAGGAGTTCTACAACCAATTTCGACTCAAAAGCTGTCTTGGCAATCACCAGCATGAATGGCTGGAAGGAACTGCTACATCCAAATCTGCCTACTACCCCGAACAGATGTGCCGGAGCATTGCGCGATTTTGGAGATCGATGCTCTTGCCATCTCGATGGACGAAGATGCTCTGGACTGCCCCTGTGCAGGGCTTGGATCCTTTTCCTTCACTTCTCTTCACCCACAACGAGATTGAGAATGAGGCCATCCTACCTGCTGGAGAAGTTCATCATTCTGAAGGAGATCTACTGCCTGTTTCGGGAGTATCACAAGATCGAGCTCTTCAAGATCCTGAGGAGCTACAACCTGGAGACCATCAACAAGACCCTGACTATGCAGGCGTTTCTTCCGCAGATCTTCAAGCTTGGCGAGCCCAAATAGCCCGATTTCATCGAGCAGCTGGTCATCCGATTGCTCGCAATTTGGCGAGAATGCTTCAAGATGCACAAGTGGAGAAGTGGAAGATCAAGGAGGCATTTCAATATCGATGTCCAGTTTGCGAAGAACACAAACCTGGTGGAAAGTCATCGCGACAGGTGGCTCCTATGTCCATACGTCCTTTGCCTCAGCCCTGGGAACATCTTGGAATCGACATCACCGAGTGGGAGGTCCCTGGAATTGACCTCAAGGTGAAGTTCATGGTGATGATGGACATGGCCACTCACTATCGCGTGACTGAGACCTTGGCGACCTATCCCTACAGCAAGACCTACGTGGAAACAGCGGATGATGTGCTTCGAGTCCTTCTGACTCGATGGATCATGGACAAGCCCAAGCCGAAGATCTTGATCCCTGACAATGCCAACACCTTCCTCTCCCAGAAAGTGATGGAATTCTGTGCGGACGTTGGTATCACTGTGATGCCACCTCCTGACAATGAAAGTTGGGCACATGGAGTTGTGGAGAGGACGGTGCAGCATCTCAAGGAAGCTGCCAACAGGATCTACAGCTCTTCACCTGACCTTCCTCCTGCTCAAGTGGTGGCCTTGGCAACTTCAGCTTTGAACAGTACTGAGTTCCACCGTGGCTACACCAGTTTGCAATGGGCATTTGGTCAGCAAACAACACTGACCGAGGAGGAGCTTCGACAACAGATTTCCCTTCCTGTGGAGCGACAGCAGGATCAATATCTGCGACTACTTTCTCAACGAGAAGCTGCAGAACAACATGCTCGAAAAGCTCGAGCGACCTTGCTGTTTTCCAAGTTGAAGAACACCTCCATCAAGCAGCCTGTGCGAACTTTTCACATGGCTCAGCCTGTCATGGTCTGGCGGAAGTTTCTTCCTCACACCATCTACAAGGGGAGAAAAGGAGGTAGAAAACACACAGCCAAACCCCGATGGGTTGGACCGGGAAGAGTGGTCTTTCATGAATTGGTGCCCGGTCAGACAGAATCTGATCGAAAGCAGATTGTCTGGGTCATCCTTGGGAACATCCTCTACCGAGCTTCAGTTCACAGTGTACGACCTTTGTCAGCCCGAGAACAAGAACTACATGAAGCTCATGGAGATGAATCACATCGATGGAAGGAGCTCACAGACATGATCCCACGGAGGAACTATGTCGACATCGAACCTGAACAACCTGAAGATGGTGAGATCGAAGAACCTTACCTTCCTCCAGTTCCTGGACCTCTTACCATGAAGCCGAAAATGAGATTCTGGAGGAAAGACACTATGTCGAACTATGGAGATCCTCTCAGCCAACGTCTTCAACGAGCACTTCCTGCACTTCCTCCTGAAGTTCCCTTTGAGATCCCGAATGACAAGGTCAATGAGTATGACTCCGACGTCGTCCCATCACCATCACCACCGTGTTCAGTGGAGGAGATTCCTAGCGATCGAGAAGCAGGTACGAAACCTACCTCAAGGAGAACATCACTTGCTTCAGCCCCACCAATTGCTGAAGAACCTGACGGAGGAGAACATGGACCTCCACAACCTGCTGCTGAGGTGGTGGATGATACACCAGTGCCAGAGCCTGACCAGAAGAAGGCCAAGCTCGACGATGAGGGCGAGGCTGATGCACTTTTGGACTTTAACAGTGCAATTCTGGAATCAGGAGAAGGCTACTTCATGAGTTTGGACTTGGATTTGTCTTCCAATCGGCAACGCAAGATGTTTTTGAACAACCCTGTGGCCTTTTTGGCGAAGAAGCTGAACAATGCTGAAGTCGTGTACCGACGTCTTTCTGAGGAGGACAAGAAGTTGTTCACGAACGCCAAAGCTGCAGAGGTATCTTCCTTTTTGAAGACAGCCGCAGTTCGCCGTTGCCTTTCTCATGAAGAAAACCTTCAAGCTCAGAACTCTGGCAGAGTGCTCAAAGCACGTTGGGTTTTGGTTTGGAAAGCGATTCCTGGTGAAGACCGATCCAAAGCCTTGGACTTACGTGCTGCGGATCCGGACAACACCACAGTGAACGCTGATGGTACTCAGAAGGCTAAAGCCCGCATAGTGGTGCTTGGATTTCAGCATCCGGACTTGGCCTCAACAACCTTCAGAAGCTCAGCCCCAGTTCAAAGCCAATTGATGCGCAACTTGGCTCTCTTTGTGACTTCTCAAAGAAACTGGGTACTGGAATCTTTGGACATGAGTACTGCCTTCTTGCAGACCGGTGCTCAACAAATGGAGGAGGAGAAGCTCTACACCAGTGGCGTGCCAGAATTGAAGCAGGCACTTGGAGCTTCCGACGCCGAGCTGCTGCGCTTGGTAAAGAATATCTACGGCAACAGTACTGCACCTCGTGGACTTTGGCAAGATGTTGATGCGACTTTCAAGAAGTTGGGCGCTCACCGAATTGTGGGCGACGCATCATTTTGGGTGTGGACTGTGCCGAATCCAAAACCTATGAACAAGTGGGATCAGAACATCCTACTTGGCTATGTTGGTGGACACGTCGATGACTTCACTCTTTCAGGAGACCTTCAAGATCATCGATGGATGGAAATTCGAAAACAAATCCTTCAAGCCTACAAGTGGGGAAGCCAGAAGCAACAGAGCTTTCGCCACACTGGCGTCGACCTCGAGATCATGGAGAAAGGAAGCGAAAGATGGGCTCAACTTTCTCAGGACTTCTACATGGAGACCCTTCAGGACCTCACCATTTCACCTGAACGTCTTCGAGGAGATCCTAAGGCTATCATGACTGATGGTGAAGTTGCAGTTTGCAGAGCTTCACTTGGAGCCTTACAATGGGTTGCGACACAGACCCAACTGCAAGCTTGTGCCCGTGTTAACTTGCTGCTTACAGAGTTGACGGTCAATCGCAACATCATGGTGGCCAAGGAGATTCAGTCCCTCATCAAGGAGATCCGCTCTGAGCCTGTCACTTTGAAGATGTGGAGAATTCCAGAGATTCAGCATTGGCAAGATGCTGTGATTGTGACATTGGCAGATCAAGCTCATGCCAATCGTCCTCAAGGTGGATCGACTGGTGGCTACATCACCTTCATCGGTGGCCCCCAGCATGCACAAGGAGAAGCAGGACGTCTCAACATCCTGTCTTGGAGATCTTGGAGATTGAAAAGGAAAGCGATTTCAACAAATGATGGTGAAATTCAATCCATGGTGGAAGGCGAAGATGCAAACTTCAGAACGAGATTCCTTTGGTGCCAGCTCAATGGCTGCATCCTTAAGGAAGAGTTGCTGGACGAAGCGAATGGCATGGTGACCTACGTACGTGGGATTCTTGGAACAGATTCCCGCGGTGGCTTCGATGCAATCATGAAGAACGAGAGCCCCTTACTTGGCCTCTCAAACATTCGCAGTGCTCTTCAGGCCTTTCAGCTGCGTGAGCAGATCGAGATTGCCAAGACAACTTTGATTTGGCTGTCTGGCGATTGGAACCTTTCCGATGCCCTGACCAAGAAGGACAAGACCGCTCGCGCTGGATTGATGCAGTTTCTTCGAAACTGGATGTGGAAGCTTTCCTACGATCCCAATTTCATCCAGTCTGAGAGGAAGTCAAAACGACTTGGACAAGGCGCAGTGACCCAGATGCGCCAACTCCAATCTTTGGTTCCATGGACTTTCATGGATGATTTGGAGGCTTTTTCAGATACATGAATGGCCGAGAAGATTTTTGGATCGATGCAATTGATACATCGGTCAGCCATTCATGTCATGACATGTTTCATAGCTTGCTTACCGCAGGCCTTGAGCCCAGGCACGTGCGACGTAAAACATTGCCATAGCTGCTTCGGTGTGCTGTTGCATTTGCCACGCTGTGTGGCATTAGGGATTCTACTTGCTGTTCATCACCTTTGGCATCCAATCCCCATAGGGCCCCCGCTTAGCTACTGCAGATTGCTTTCCTGTGGGTTAATGGGATTACTTTACTATGATATAATGGGATTCACATGGTTTTTAAAAATCCTATGAAACCTATGGGTGTCCATCAATAGTAGGACTATGAGATGAACGGACTGTTGAGAATTGATGCTTCTACTCCCAAAATCTAAGAGGTTGCTATGGAAAATCATCAATAAATCATTTATAGGGATTTATCATCCAACTAATGGGGCAGTTTTCAAGATAATACCATTTTAAGCACATATCAATATGTATATATATATAATATTGAGCACTGCTTTTCTACCCACCCTAGTGATTTCCCATCCCCTTCTTTGGGGTATGCAAAGAACACTATCGACATTTCTGGTTGGAGGATAGCTGGCCATTTTGACGTCATTTTGGGAGGAATCGAGTTTTAAACAAGTCGGAAGCCAATAGGTTCAAACAAGTTCTAGTTCTATACCTGGCCATTTCATGTTGGTAAACCATAGTCATAAACATCCGCCAAATCCCCAGTTTTATAGTTGGTATAAACCATTCCCAAGTGGGTGGTTTATGGCATTGTTTTACCCACATTATTGGGAATATAATAGTATATTATCCCTTTATTATTCATTATATCGTTATCATTATATCATTATCATTATATCATTATCATTATTATATCATTGTCATTAACATTTTTTTGTTCCACATTTTTTGGTTGCTTTTTTTCGATCCTACCAGGCCAAGTCCGCCAAGTCTCTGGCGTCTGGCGTGGCAAGTTCAGAGCCCGCGCGCGTGCACAAAGGTAGGCCCAATAGATGCCACGAGGAGTGCTATCCATCAGATGTTGCAGCATGCCAATGGCCTGATATGAGGCTTTCCTAAGTCATGGGGGTACGCAAATCATCCATTTTAATAGGATTCATTCATTAGAAACCATCCGTTTTGGGGTACCTCATACCACCTTTTTTTTGGTATTCATGGAAACCCCCATATGAGAACTGGATGGAACTGGGAACTGGCCGAGCAGATTGTCATTCTGGAGTTTTTTCGAAGTTTTGTGATTGGTGGTTTTAAGACAACCGTCCCAAGGATGGTTGTCTTAAAAACATTGTAAAACATTAAACATCAATATATAGATATTTGAAAACCATCAGCCAGTCATGGATTTTCTGAAATTTGAGATAGCCAATCGTAGCCATAAAAATGGGTTAGATGTAAGTTTCCAGTGGTGTAACTGGAAGGCTTTGCAACTCCTTCGCGCGAATGACAAAAATATATCCTCCAGAAATAGCCAAGCAGAATGTATAGGCTATACAGGATCCTTTCATAGGGAGTTGGGCATTTTGGGATTTGAATATTACAAATTAACATCAAAACCGGCAAGTACTATGAGTACTATGTATTATGTAATCACACAGTGGATGCTCAAAAATGGTCAAGCGCAGTGTCATCACTGGTGGAGACCAAGAGAGCGCCTCGATGACGTTCTCTGCTCGCTGAGCCGTCAAGAACCTGCGGCTCAAGGACAAGCCCCAGAAAACGTTGGGATCTGAGATGGGGGTGTTAAGATTAAGCAGCCAACATGGTTTATGACTCACAACCTTGAAAAACTTTAAATTAAACATGGAGTTGAAACACGCAACTTATTTTCATCGGATGTCGTGGGTTTGTTCTGTCCCTGTGGGACTTACCTATGGGAGTTGATGGGGCGTCAGCAGGGGGCGATCCTTCAAGGGAAACTATCTGCGGGGAGCTTGCTGCAAAGCATGGGTGGTTGCCCCTAGCTGGAGGGTAGTGACATATGTGCCCAGATCCTATAAACTTTAAACCTGGTGATGCCGAATCTGGAAGTGTTCAGGTCTCATACTAGAAGACCCGAATTAGATCAAATTACAATATGCGCAGCAAAACCATACAAAACTGACTGTATACTGCATCCAGGGTTTCAATGATGATAGGCAAGCCGGCGCCGAAGCACTGGATCTCCAGAAGTGACCTGTTCAACTGTTCAACCCCAGCCTGGAGCCACTACCGGCTTCCAATCCACTCATGAAGCCCAACAAAAAGAGGACGTAGAAGCGAATCGCACGCTCACCCTGCTTACTCACCAGCTCCTGCCAACGGAGACTGAAGCGCAGAGGCTGGGGATCCACAATCTGAGGGAGATATTTACTAATTTTAATAACCCAATGAATCTATAATTATGATACACTCACTCAATATTCCCTTCGGAATACTCCTCGGGATACTCGGATACGGCAATTTCATTGTGAAGGCTGATCCAGCACGGCCAAAATCTCAAGCCTGTGCCTGAAAATCGCACATTTTCAAGTTGAACCATGACCCTGAAATCGCCCGAATTCAGCTGCTCTATTTTTGGTGGAAGAGCCAGACACTTGGCGCCCCAAACCCAAGCAACTCTCAGTTCGGTTGCCCTCTGTTCATCTACATTCATCTACCCTCGAGGAAAATTATTTGAAAACCATCCCATATCCGATTGATTAAACATTCTGATGACATTCTGTAGTGAGGGGACGTTCCAGTCAACCCAGTTGGATTCCCAGATGGATTCCCAGAGATTTCCGGGATCACGGCCCTGGCCCTGACTGCCACGGCGCCTGAAGCTGCGCCACATTCGCAGGCACGTTCCTGACAAACGCGCGTTTTCTCGCGGCGACGATCCGGGTCGCATTTGGGTTGTCGGCATGGAGGTATGATGGTAACCATTAACGGCTACTTCTGTAAGTTTCAATCCGAAAAAAGAAATTAGCTGGTTTACTGATGGTTTCAACCTTGAAAAATATGCTCGTCAATGGGGATCATCATCCCATTTGTTGGATGGAACATGAAAGAAGCATCTCAAGCCACCAAACACTTTATCATATTGTCAACGTATCCCATCCGCAACTGTGTTGGTCTTGCACTCCTGACAAGTGGTTGTGCGAATGTATGTGTATATTTGGAAATGCATATGCGCTGCGCTGCTGCTTGTCCCTGGTCTTAGTGCTTCCAGCCAGATTATCATATTGGGATAATATATATATACAGTATATATATATATAGACAAATTATATACACATCAACGAGTTTCGGTACTTCTTGCCCAACTCGTTCTGTGAATTGCTCCGTCTGTTCTATGAATCGCCCACCTTTTGAACGGAAGGGTTCACCCTTTGGTGCCAGGTCGCTCTCCCTGCAGCATCTGCGCAAAGTTGAAGGCTTCATGCAGTTGCAGGGCCATCTTCACCAAGGTTAGACCTGGCCCAGGACTCGCGATCCCTTTGGTTGGCCAAGTTACTCGAGAAAGTTGTATCATGGCTGTGTTTAATATTAATCAGTATAATCACTATGACATAATATAAAACACAACAATAAACAATAATAATAATGATAATAAAACTAATAACAACAATGACAGTAATAATGATAATAACAATAATAACAACGACAATAATAACAATAATAACAATAATAATAGGTAAATAATAAATAATAACACATAGTAACAATAATAACAATAATAATAGGTGAATAAGAAATAATAACACATAGTAAATAATAAATAATAACCATAGTGATAAATAACGAATAATAAATAATAACAATGGTGATAAATACTAAATAATGATAATAATAAAACATAAAAAATACATAAGAATAAATAAACATAAAAAAGTAATAATAATAGATAATAAATAAAAATAAAAAAAAAATAATAATAAATACTACATAATAATACATAATAATAAATAATAATACGTACTAATAAATAATAAAAAGCAATAAACAATGATAATTAATAATAAATAATAAATAATTATAATTGATAATACATAATAATACATAATAATAAATACTAATAAGTATTAATAAACACTAATAAATAATAATACGTACTAATGAATAATAATAAATAATAAATAACAATAAAACATAGTAAACCATGATAAATAATAATAAATAAATATAAATGATAATAAATAAAAAAATACATAATAATAAATAATAATACGTAATAATAAATAAAAATAAATAATAGTAAAATAATAATAATAATAAACAATAACATAATAACAAATAAAAAACAAAATAATAAATAATAACACGTAATAACAAATATGAATACATAATAACAAATAATAAAAAACTATAAATGATAATAATAACAATAATGAAAACAATAATAATAGAATATATATATATATACAGTATTCATACTAATTCATGTTTGAACCATACTGCAAATCCAACAGCGGATTACAGTAAAAATAACTGATTCAGTGATTGTACATCATAAAATGCGACAATTTTGGGCACCTCACATTTTCTTCAAACCCCAAAAAACCATCAAATCGCTATGGCCTTTGTCACTCAGCTCCTTGATGGAGGGCACCACATTGGAGCTGAATTCCACCAAATACCTGGGCCGGTGAGCTTGAGATGCGTCAAGTGAGGAGGCACAAAACAACGCGAACACATGTTTGTAATATACATAATCTATATAAATTCCGCAGTAGGATTTTTTCCTTTTCCATCTAGGAAGTTGCAGCTCAAAATCATCAAACACGGAGGTTTTACTTTACCCAGCTATGGATCCAAGGTGCAGCACGGCACTTTCTGGACGCCGGTTATGACTTGGCACTTGGCACAGCACGAACTTGGATTTTCCCAAGGCGCGGATGGCCAAGAGGACCAACCCCTCTGACCGCCACTTGCGATTAGGTGAGGGCGCGGTGAGGTCGTTTTTATCCAAACAAATTGATGGTAGAAAACACGGTTCCCTG